AAAGGGGAAAGAGGTTTTGATTCCTGACAACAACTACAACTAGATGCCAGCTGCTAACTCATTTTACCTTTTTTTTATTTTTTTATATGACGCTGCTGTTTTTAAAAAAAATAAATAAACAAATTGTTTTAAGGGGTGGGAAAGAAAAATATCTGTGATTGTGAATGGAAAGAAGAGTGTAATTAATGAGGGTTGGGGTTGGTGTGGCAAATGGCAATGCGATGGGAAGGTCATTCATTGCATGGGATGCCACGTCATGGGCAAAGCCCTAATTATACAAATGATGAGATAAATGGGTCCCCAACTTGCATCGGTGGCAAATGGTGGTTCATTGAAATTATAGACTTCAATTGAACTTGGCAAACGTATAACATGAGGAAAAGATGAACCCCACGGATGCGTTGTGTGTTATGGGTAGGGGTGGAACGTTACATCGGAGAAGGTCACACACACACAATCATCGAGTCAATCACTATATAAAAAAAAATCATAAATAAATAAAAGTACTTAATATGTAAATTAAGAATCAAGTCTTAGTTCAAAATTAGGATGATTGGTGTCTATTTAAGTATATTAACATAAAAGGTAGAGGTTAAAAAATTGGTTTTAATATTTTATAGCACTAATTAGTTATGTATTTGTTGAGAGTTTCATCCAAAGTCTCCAATCTAAGGTCTTTGGTCTTTGGTTTTCAATTCTTGGTCTTCAAGATTGCAAGTGATGGTTGTACTTACAAAAAGAATTTTGATACTTAAATTAATGGGTGTTTGAAGTATTCAAATATATTCTTTTTAGTCAATGTACCTTCTAAAGGTGAAATATAGGTATATATAGATGAGAAAATGTTACTGTTAAGAAGCTAGTTATTTAAGTGTATCCATGACCTTTTATTGTTACGTAAAAGTTCAATGTACTATTGGTCGAAAATGATTTGTTTCCCGCCTCTAAAATTTGGAATTGTTGCCTTTCGAATACGTCGTCGTTTTAGTGGTCATTTCAAGTGTAATGATGGCATGTTAGAGACCCTATGATTGCATAGGTGTGAAACGTCTCAAAAACACGAAAAGTCACATCCATCTTTATCGTTGATCTTGAAGGGATCTTATAGTTCAAAGAGACGCGACACTTCGTGTAACACTGCGAGTCATAGTTGTTTTAAATTACTAGTTGTAGTAGTGTTGTATTGGAACTCTAGAGTTAGGGATCTCTAAGAGTTAGTTGGTCTCTGGAGTAGTTGAACCAAGGATAAGTTGAGTTAACTTAGGAAAGGTATAAAAAGGTTTTCTTAAGAAGACTATCTTAGATCCCTCAAGTTATAAGTTTTGTCGAGAACAAACATATACATTTTTCAAGAAAAAAGTTTTTCATATCATTCTAAGACGAACGAGTATAAGATGAATGCACTAATACGATCAATTATCTTGACATAAAAAGTCTAACAGATGAAACACTTCATCTGTAAGACATTTATTTTGAATTCATATCATTTAAGATGTTTGATGTATATATGATTCCTTAATAGATTGAAGTAAAATAGTTTCCTTGGTATCCACAATAACAAAAGACAAAGAATACATGTTTTTTGTCTGAAAAAGACAAGTAGATCCCTTGAATCACTAAAATATTTAGAAAAAGTTGTTTTGAACTAACACATGCATGACTCCTCCCATTCAGTAACTAAAAGGTGATAAGTTGTGTCCTTGATCGGATAACAATTGACAATTTGGTGAAAGACATTTAATGCAAACAATTAATGCACCAACATACGTTTCTCTCCACAAAGAACAAAAATTGAAGATAGATGAAGCAAACTTGTGAGAGATGCTAAAGGATTTGCAACAATCATCTTCAATGAAAACACCTATATAAGAAAGCTTGAAGATTGATAAAGAATGAGATGTGAAGAACATAGACAATAGAAACACATATTGTAAAATTACATTCATTCTTTCTGTGTATAATCTTTGTACTTAATACTATTGTCTCACTTCTTGAAAGTAAAACGAACAACACAATTATCTTACCCAATTTTAACTTTGAGTTATTACGTTAAGCCTAGAGAGGTTTGTCTATAAAAATATACTTTGTTGTTTGAAGCTTGAAGAGACCTTGTGTTAAAGAATACTTGCGTAGTTGCTTGAAGAGGCAAGTTAAAGAGTACGTAGGTTGAGCTAGAAGTGGCTTGTGAAAGCATACATGTATCTTTGTAAAAGATAATGAAATTTGATATGGTTTGATTAAGAATTGAATGTAGTCTTAGTAGTTGAGACGAACCATTATAAAAATAGTTTGTGTTCTTTTGACTTACTCTTTCATTTACATTCTTATAATTATGCTACTACTTCATTGTTTCAAAAAAGTGTGAGCTTTTGATGTCACTATTCAACCCCTTTGTAGTGTATTTCTTTTCTCCATAGGAAGCTTGTGAATTGAATGATCTACGTTGCATGTGGTTTTTTGTCGTCTAGAATCAACTAAGTGTGGTTGATTTTGATAAAGATACATGAAATGTGGCTTGTTTGAGTTTTTAGCTCTTAAAGTGGTGTATGAGTGGAAATGTTGAATCTTGGTTGGTCATGTTTGCATGTTGTAAATGAGGTGGTTTTCAAACTGTTCATGATGCTTGCATTTTTTTTTCTATACATCGTGTGTTGGAAATTGCTTAAATTTCAGCTATATTGGATGATTTTTGAGTTTTGCATAAGTGCTTAAATGATGTTGCGCAAGGCACACCTTTATGGAGTTAGGTGTGGTTATATTAGTGGCACTTTGTCCTACTCATATCAAGCACATGGTCGATAACACCAGGTGTGAGAAAAGAGAATTATCTTGGGTTGAACTCGCATCAGGCATGGTTTGAATGATGTTAGATGCGAGGAGAAAAAATCATCTAAAGTTGGTGTGAGGTCGGGTGTGAGTTGTTGCCATGCTAGGTGTGAGACCCTATGGGCCCTTGCATAGTCCACGTCGGGCGTGGGTTAGATGACACTAAGGGGCGAGACAAGGAGTCCCATACCTCAATGGTGTTGGGCAACCCTTGAGGGGCACCAAATGTGAGTTGCATGATGAAAGTTTTCTTGTTTAAGATGTTTGTAGTTAAATGATGGTGAATAAGTTGTGAAAATGATGATGTATGATGATGAAGCTATATGTTATAAGTTGATGCATTATTGATGATGTTAAATTGATAAGTTGTAAGATGATATGTTAAACGATGATGATATATATTTTTATTAAGTTGCAAGTTGATATACTATATGATGATATTTATGTTGTTATATATGTAAGATGATTTATGAATAAGTTTTAATCATTGTGAGATGTTGTAAGTTGAATATGTTACAAAGTTGTATGATGTTAAGTTGTAGGCATGTGATTTAGATACATGTCTTAGCTACAATACATGAAAACTAGAAGGGAGTAAGGTTGTTTTCAAAATTGAATATCCCATTGTGTGAATATATGTTGCAGTGTTCTAAGAGCTCAGTTGAAACTCTTTAGTAAGTAAGTTAGCTTTTAAATGAGTAGGTTGTTTTCATTTTTCCCCTTTAGATTTTATGTGGTATCCATAAATGATCAAGGTTAAGACATACATGTATAAAGTAACCAATCGAGTAAAGTATCAAGTTGGGAACTTAGTCTCTAACCTAGAATAGGAGGGGCATAGTACTTGGAGGGTAGTCGATGGACTAATCTCATATGTGGCTTAGTGTTGCAAACTAATGTCATGATAGGTTTATACCCAAGTTGTTATATTCTAACAATAGTATTAGACTTCTTAGTTTAAGTGACAAAACTTGAGAAATCAATATAGCTTATGTTAGTCATTGCTTCTGGCCATAATGTCAACCATTATTTTTTGGCTTATACAGTTCGTTTGATTCGGTAGGTTTAGCCACTTAAATTGCTCACCTTAGTTATATGAAATCTCTATAATTGATATATGTGACAACACATTCAATTGTTTATTGTAATTCACATTCAATATGTTGCTAAAATGAAGTTAATTATGTTGTAAGTTGTGTGTGTTGTAATTGATGAACAAATGAAGTTGTATGATGAAATGTAAGTTATGTATTTGATGTTGATGTTGTGTTGATGAGTAGATTTATTTTCACAAGTTTACCTTGTATTTTCCATGTGGTTGAGATTGTGATGATCATGATTCTTTATAAGATCAAGACATGATTAGCAAGATGACTTGTTGCAATTGGTGGTGAGTTATGTTGGTGATGACTCAATTTTGTTGTGGCTACTTCTATGTAGTCAAGTCTTGTATAGACACTCGACCAACAACTTAGGGTCGTTTTGTGTACAGTGTTAATTGTTGTGCATGTACTCTATATATATATATATATATATATATATAT